GGGCCCTGATTGTGCCGACCTCTTCCCGGCGGCGGCGCGAGGAGCTTTATGCCCCGTTGATCGCGGGTCTTCGGTGCAGGAACGGCGTCAGACTGTGGTTTGGGGCGAGTTTGAGATGTGAGAGGTTTTCTAATAAACGTACAGTCCACAGTTTACGTTCTCTGAATGTTACTTTACCTACTTATTACTAATTACCTTGTCAGAGATAGACATTTACTGATAAACTACCTGCTACATATTTAGCTAGCTAAGAAACAGAGCAGCTCCTCATATACTCATGTGCTCTTACTACTGTCCTGTCTGTGCGCTGCAACACCGGAATTTTTCCACTGCGGGATGAATAACGGTTATTTTATCATTATTATAAACGCAGCTTGGCTTAATTAAGATAAAACAAGGACTACAGTTTAAACCTAGCTAAAATTAGGACTACAGTTTAAACCTAGCTAAAACAAGGACTACAGGTTAAACCTCGCTAAAACAAGGACTACAGTTTAAACCTCGCTAAAACAAGGACTACAGTTTAAACCTAGCTAAAACTAGGACTACAGTTTAAACCTAGCTAATATTAGGACTACAGGTTAAACCTCGCTAAAACAAGGACTACAGTTTAAACCTAGCTAAAACAAGGACTACAGTTTGAACCTAGCTAATATTAGGACTACAGTTTAAACCTAGCTAAAACTAGGACTACAGTTTAAACCTAGCTAAAACAAGGACTACAGTTTAAACCTAGCTAAAACTAGGACTACAGTTTAAACCTAGCTAAAACAAGGACTACAGTTTAAACCTAGCTAATATTAGGACTACAGTTTAAACCTAGCTAATATTAGGACTACAGTTTAAACCTAGCTAAAACAAGGACTACAGTTTAAACCTAGCTAAAACTAGGACTACAGTTTAAACCTAGCTAAAACAAGGACTACAGTTTAAACCTAGCTAATATTAGGACTACAGTTTAAACCTAGCTAAAACTAGGACTACAGTTTAAACCTAGCTAAAACAAGGACTACAGATGAAAACTAGCTAAAACTAGGACTACAGTTTGAACCTAGCTAATATTAGGACTACAGGTTAAACCTAGCTAAAAAAAGGACTACAGTTTGAACCTAGCTAATATTAGGACTACAGATTGAACCTAGCTAAAACAAGGACTACGGTTTGAACCTAGCTAAAACAAGGACTACAGTTTAAACCTCGCTAAAAAAAGGACTACAGTTTAAACCTAGCTAAAACAAGGACTACAGTTTGAACCTAGCTAATATTAGGACTACAGTTTAAACCTAGCTAATATTAGGACTACAGTTTAAACCTAGCTAAAACAAGGACTACAGATGAAAACTAGCAGAAAATTGCACTGTTATTGAGATGCTACGGTTCATCGCTCTCTCTCTGTGTGTGTTTGTTATTGTTGCACTTCCTGTGTTTGAAACGTTTGATTCTCTGATCTGTCGTTGGCTAATTGACAACTTTGTAAAGTCCTTTGAGACGATGATAGGACGTTTTCAGCCCAATGACTTTATGCAGATTGTGTGTATATTGTTATATATCTGTGTTGTGTTTGTCACCTGTTGTGTTGCTCTTTGAACTGCCTTCTGTACAAACTTGTGCTATACAAATACATTTGGATTGATTGATTTTAGAATGGATAGAGGCAAAAACAACTCCAGGTCTAGTTAAAAACTTATCATTCTGCATAAAATGTCACTTTTACCATTTCAAAAGACTCATGGTATTGTTTACAGCCGCTCTGAGACTGTCAATACACACACACACAACCCACTCCCTGCTGTGTGTGTGTGTCTCTGTATGTGTGTGTGTGTGTGTGTGTGTCTCTGTATGTGTGTGTGTGTGTGTGTGTCTGTGTGTGTGTGTGTGTCTCTGTATGTGTGTGTGTGTGTGTCTCTGTATGTGTGTGTGTGTGTGTGTGTGTGTGTGTGTGTGTGTGTGTCTCTGTATGTGTGTGTGTGTGTGTGTGTGTGTGTGTGTCTCTGTATGTGTGTGTGTGTGTGTGTATGTGTGTGTGTGTGTGTGTGTGTGTGTGTGTGTGTGTGTGTGTGTGTGTGTGTGTGTGTGTGTGTGTGTGTGTGTGTGTGTCTCTCTCTGTATGTGTGTGTGTGTGTGTCTCTGTATGTGTGTGTGTCTCTGTATGTGTGTGTGTGTGTGTGTGTGTGTGTGTGTGTGTGCGTGTGTGTGTGTCTCTGTATGTGTGTGTGTGTGTGTGTGTGTGTGTGTGTGTCTCTGTATGTGTGTGTGTGTGTGTATGTGTGTGTGTGTGTGTGTGTGTCTGTATGTGTGTGTGTGTGTGTGTCTCTGTATGTGTGTGTGTGTGTGTGTGTGTGTGTGTGTGTGTATGTGTGTGTGTGTGTGTCTCTGTATGTGTGTGTGTGTGTGTGTGTGTGTGTCTCTCTGTATGTGTGTGTGTGTGTGTCTCTGTATGTGTGTGTGTCTCTGTATGTGTGTGTGTGTGTGTGTGTGTGTGTGTGTGTGTGTGTGTGTGTGTCTCTGTATGTGTGTGTGTGTGTGTGTGTGTATGTGTGTGTGTGTGTGTCTCTGTATGTGTGTGTGTGTGTGTGTGTGTGTGTGTGTGTGTGTGTGTCTCTGTATGTGTGTCTCTGTGTGTGTGGTGTGTGGTGTGTGTGTGTGTGTGTGTGTGACGCCATGTGGTAGAGGAGGGTCTGCATCAGGAGCTAAACCCAGTGGGAGCCCAGAGCTTTAAGGAGGAAATCCCCCTCCGGCTGTTCGTTTGGTGCACACTTCTCTCCCTCCCTCCTCTGGTCTCTCTCTGGTCTCTCTCTCTGGTCTCTCTGGTCTCTCTCTCTGGTCTCTCTCTCTCTGGTCTCACTCTCTGGTCTCTCTCTCTCTGGTCTCACTCTCTGGTCTCTCTCTCTGGTCTCTCTCTCTGGTCTCTCTCTCTGGTCTCTCTCTCTGGTCTCTCTCTCTGGTCTCTCTCTCTGGTCTCTCTCTCTGGTCTCTCTCTCTGGTCTCTCAGGTCTCTCTGGTCTCTCTCTGGTCTCTCTCTCTGGTCTCTCTCTCTGGTCTCTCTCTCTGGTCTCTCTGGTCTCTCTGGTCTCTCTCTGGTCTCTCTCTCTGGTCTCTCTCTCTGGTCTCTCTGGTCTCTCTGGTCTCTCTCTGGTCTCTCTCTGGTCTCTCTCTGGTCTCTCTCTCTGGTCTCTCTCTCTGGTCTCTCTGGTCTCTCTCTGGTCTCTCTCTCTCTGGTCTCTCTCTCTCTGGTCTCTCTCTCTCTGGTCTCTCTCTCTCTGGTCTCTCTCTCTCTGGTCTCTCTCTCTGGTCTCTCTCTCTGGTCGGTCTCTCTGGTCTCTCTGGTCTCTCTGGTCTCTCTCTGGTCTCTCTCTGGTCTCTCTCTGGTCTCTCTCTGGTCTCTCTCTCTGGTCTCTCTGGTCTCTCTGGTCTCTCTGGTCTCTCTGGTCTCTCTGGTCTCTCTGGTCTCTCTCTGGTCTCTCTCTGGTCTCTCTCTCTGGTCTCTCTCTCTGGTCTCTCTCTCTGGTCTCTCTCTCTGGTCTCTCTCTCTCTCTGGTCTCTCTCTCTGGTCTCTCTCTCTGGTCTCTCTCTCTGGTCTCTCTCTCTGGTCTCTCTGGTCTCTCTGGTCTCTCTCTCTGGTCTCTCTCTGGTCTCTCTCTGGTCTCTCTCTGGTCTCTCTCTGGTCTCTCTCTCTGGTCTCTCTCTCTCTGGTCTCTCTGGTCTCTCTCTGGTCTCTCTTGGTCTCTCTGGTCTCTCTCTGGTCTCTCTCTCTGGTCTCTCTCTCTGGTCTCTCTCTCTGGTCTCTCTCTCTGGTCTCTCTCTCTGGTCTCTCTCTCTGGTCTCTCTCTCTGGTCTCTCTCTCTGGTCTCTCTCTCTGGTCTCTCTCTCTGGTCTCTCTGGTCTCTCTGGTCTCTCAGGTCTCTCAGGTCTCTCTCTGGTCTCTCTCTGGTCTCTCTCTCTGGTCTCTCTCTCTGGTCTCTCTCTCTGGTAAAACCATCAGCCAGATATCTGTCACTTGTTTCCACCCGGACCACAATCACATCGCTGGTCTCTACAACAACAACAACAACAATCTCTAAAACAACCACATTCTACTCGTTTGTTTTGAGTTGAGAAGAAGTGACAAAGTTGTTTTGTGTTAGTTGTTGTGATCGGAACATTCTGGAGAGACTGATTTATATCACTCTGTTTGATTCTCTGATCTGTGTTGGTGAATCAGCAACTTTGTAAAGTCCTTGGAGGTCATTTCTGTTGTGATTCAGAGCGACACAAATATAGATTGAATGAAGGTAGTTGTGGACATGTCAGTTTGATCAGACAGTTTTCAGAGTTGTGTTGGTTTGAATGACTGCAGTGAGTCCTGGTGTTGAAAGAAGAGTAAAAAGTTCAGAAGTGGACGAAAGGAAAAGGTCAGATACAAATCATTAGCATTTGGCCGGTTCCCAAACGCAGTTGGCACAGAGCGGATCCAAGACATCTGGAAAGAGCCGCGCTCGTTTCATATTCAATAAATATTATAAATAAATTATTATTATAAATATAATAATGAAACAGTTTCACAGGCGCCTGCTCTGATCTCTGCCTTTTGTCTTATTCTCTCAACTCTGCGTCAAAATAGGAATGATTTAAATTAATATTAATGTGTTTGTTTGTGTGTGTGTCTCTGTGTGTGTTTGTGAGTCTGTGTTTGTGTATGTCTCTCTGTGCGTGGTTCTGTATGTGTGTGTGTGTCTCTGTGTGTGTGTCTCAACATACAGAAAGCCCATATAATGTGTAATATTTCTTCTTTAAAGCTGCACTAACTGACGAAAGTCTATCCATGTCCATGCAGTGCAGTGGGATAAACGTCCTTTTGAAGAGAAAGTAGCGCAGGTTTGTGCTGCCGTGACATTATATTTTAGATCGAGTTTTGATGAAACAAGGAAGAGAATGTGTTTCGGGTCGCAGATTGTGACCAATCACAGCGGACCACTAGCCCCCACTTTCGTGAGAAATCTACAGGTCTGTTAGCACAGACG